TTACTATAGTTTTATTTCGATTTTGCTTTGGTGGATTTTTTCAAAAATTATATTGGCTCTGTGTTTACAGCATCTATAAGAATATGAAGAGGTAGCTCACATTTTCCAGGTGCTGTTTTAATTAGTATTATAAGGGAAATTGTAAGCTCCAGTGGTATTCAAGAATTTAGAGATTAGAGAAAGGTTCAAGGCATGAGATTGCTCAGGGAGAAGGGTCTATGGTAATTTGGGGGCTACAAATAAACCTAATCGAATTGAGTAGCTGTCAGTAAGAAGCAAGATTTATTGGGCAGTTGACTTTATATATTTTGATCTGATACACAAATTAACCCTCCCCAAATCTATTTAGCAGCTGGTTGTCATTTCCATTAGCTAAAAGCAGCTAGTCTTAAATCTGTTTCAAAGCTCCTGCCAGCCTGTCTCGCTGAGCCTGTTTAGCCTTTCAGCTGTGAGACCAAATTCCCAGGTGCCAGTTCAGTGCTCAGGTCTCTAGACCTTGTTATGGGTTGTTGAAATCCTTCTGCCAGCTCTTGAAATGACCCTAGGCAAGTAATTTAATTCAGTCTTTCTGTCACTGAAGGTAGTCAAGAAGGATTTAAGGATTTATATGCAATAAGAAACATGCTTTAGAGTTTCGTCAGTCTAAGCTCTAAAGGTAGAGAAGGTCAGGTGAGGGTTGAATGTTTTCACTTATTCCTGACCATTTCCAGCTCTAGGGGCATGGTAAATTCTTCCATTGATTTTTATGCAGTGATCAGGCTCTCTTAGGTTTTGGTGCCGTATCATCATGAATGCTTCCGTTCTCTTAAGTTGTGGACGTCGTGATTGCTTTATATACTATTCTTATTCTTGTTTGTTAATATTTCTGATTACAATAGACCTTTACTATTTGTACAAGGTTCTGCGGATTATTTTAGGGGAAAGTGGGTTATTAAAGTAATGCTATGTTTGGGTAAATAGAACTGACACCGACTTAGTAAAGTTGTACTAGTTATTGCCCCAAAACTTCATGGCTTCAAATACCACACATTTATTCTAGTTTCTCGGAATCAGGAATTCAGGAGCAGCTTAGCTGGGTGGTTGTGTCTCAAGTATCCTGAGGTCCGCCGTCGAAATGATTTGGGGGCAGCAGTTCCGTGGGCTTGCCTGGAGCTGGGGGATCTGCTTCCAATATGGCTCAGTCATGTGGCTGGTGAAAAGGGGCCTCACTTCCTTGCTGGCTGTTGGCCGGAAATTTCAGTGCCTCACCTTGTTGGCCTTTTCGTAGGGTCTCCAGAGTGTCCTTGTGACAGGGCAGCTGGTTTCTCCAGAGGGAGTGATCCTAGAGAGAGAGCAAGGAGGAGATTATATGCCCTTTACGACCTGGTTTCAGAAGTCGCTTCACTTTTGCCACATTCTCTTTGTTAGAAGCCAGTCACTAAGTACTGTCCACATGCAAAAGGAGTGGAGTTAGGCCTCATCTCTTGAGGGGAAGAGTTTAAAAGAATTTTATGGAGTCTTTTTAAGCCACTGCAATGATAGACGTAGTTATATATTTCGCAAAGGCATGTAATTGGCAACAGCCAAATTTGTACTTATTTCTCTGTTGTTTCAACGGTCTTAGAGTTAAAACAGGTGTTTCTGTTACTCTGTAGATGTTCCTGAAAATTTTCCTGTTCTCCACAATTGTAAATGAGAAATAAAAGTTTACGGGAAAATGCAGTTGGAAGAGGGTAGGACTCTAAGTTCATGCATCTTTATAACCAAAATACTAACAAAAGTAACGATGGGCCGCAGGATCTAACCCAGGCAGCCCAGGCAGGCTGGAAGTTGAGTTGCCTTAAGGAATATTAAAAATGCACAGTGACAGGGGGCGCCTGGGTGGCGCAGTCGGTTAAGCGTCCGACTTCAGCCAGGTCACGATCTCGCGGTCCGTGAGTTCGAGCCCCGTGTCGGGCTCTGGGCTGATGGCTCAGAGCCTGGAGCCGGTTTCTGATTCTGTGTCTCCCTCTCTCTCTACCCCTCCCCCATTCATGCTCTGTCTCTCTCTGTCCCAAAAATAAATAAATGTTGAAAAAAAAAATTTTAATAAAAAAAAAAATGCACAGTGACAGAACAGTAGTAATGCTGTCTTGTGGGTGCAGAGACGGTGTATTTACTGTGGGTTTTTCCCCTTGCTGTTGAAAGTTAGAATTCTACCAATCTGGCTCCTTTTGCCTAGAGTAAATCTTTATGAACCAACATAATACAGCATGTTAAAATGACACCAGTCCTCTATTTACAATCGAATGAGCTCATTGGTATTAATGAATCACATACTGTAGCAGAACAGACCGTAGTTTCCCTTAAACGAATAAATACTTTGAATCATTTATTTAGTAAAATTCTCTCCGATAGATGAAACTGAAGTAGACTGCAGCAAACATTGCTGTGGTCAGGTCTCTATCTCAGCTTGAAATACTTGCTTTTGCTGTCTATCTTTCCTCCTGCGTCATGTAAGAAATGCCTTAAACCTGCAGGGAATTAGAGTAACATTTCTAAAGTAAAAGTTTTCACGACCGATCCAACTTTGAATTGGCAGGCATTGGTCACTTGGTGTTGTCAATATTTATTGGAGCATGGGACAGTTGGAATTCCTCCGAAATGAGAAGTTTGAGAGTTGGCAGGGGGAGAGAAAATAATTCCTATGTATAGAATAAAGAAGTCTGACGCAAAGGAGGGTGCACGTGGCTGATTGCCTAGGTGTAGAGTCTTATTCATCTCCATATTCCCCGGAGCCCTGTTTGGTACACAGCAAGTCCCAAGGGCGTGTGTGATCTGGAACACCCAGGGAGGGAGCAGACAACAAGGATATTGAAATTCACTCAGAACAAGACAAGGAGGGGTTTGATTCAGGCTGGGATGTTTAGGGCTTTCCAAGGACAGACTGATCTTACCATTAGGCTCCAAGACTATTCAGGCACTTTGGGAATTTTTCTAACTAGAGAATAAAAAGCCTATCTCTGTTGATGTGTCCATACTCTTCCTCCCTCCCTCCCTCTCTCTCTCTTTCTCTCTCTCTCTCTCTCTCTATCTATCTATCTATCTATCTATCTCTGGGATATATAGTCCACTCTATCTGGTGATTTGTTCTGGGACTTTCTGTAGGATTTTTGTGGAGTTGGGAGAATTGAAGGGCTGTCTTTATGTACCCCTGTTGTCTTTTTCATTAATCTCTACTCACAGATCTACATAAATGTGACAGGTTAACATGTATCCTCGAAGCCATTCTCAGATGGGGCTAAATAAAATGTCTCCTTTGCATTCATTAGTCTGTATGTAGGCTTGTGTGTGTGTGTGTGTGTGTGTGTGTGTGTGTGCCCATGCACACACACGTATGCATATTTAGATCAGATCTCTCGTTAGCCTGTGTTACTTTATTACATTTGTGGAGATTGGAGTTTCAAAATCTAGTAATCTTGCGCTTCTTTCCGACAGGAAATGTCTGTCATGTAGAAAGGAGCTCTTAGCCTGGGAGTCTGAGCGTTTTCTTTCTGGGTGTAAATGAACTAGTACAGAAGGGGACAAGCGACTGACTGTGGTCTGATCCATCATTGGCAGCCTTTGGCAAGTCGTGTCTGATGTGAAGTCTCCTGGGCTTCCTATCTCTTTGTGGGGCATTAGCATCTGGTGACTGAACAATTCAGTGGGGCCCTCAGCTCCCTTGCGGGTGGCAGCTGTGTAGTTGTTTGCTGGGCACCAAGTTTAAATAGCCGAACCACTGTTACACTCCATGCTGGCCCGGCCCCAGCAAAATTATGTAGTGTGCAGTATCTATTTTATAAAACATTCTGATGTACCGGGAGAAAGAGGAAGTGAAATTCAAACCTGCTGGTTTTGTTATTTCTCCCCAAAGGTATGTATTGGAATGGTTCCAACACGCTGGATCTCTTGAGATCTATTTTTGGTGCTGGTGCTCTTTTCGTTTCCTTCTCCAGTAGGTATTAGACATCTACCAAAACTACTTGGTATTTATGTTAGTACTTAATATTCATAAGAATATAATGTCTCTTGAGTATGTTTCTTCTGCTAGCCTTTGGCAACTAGGCAAATTTCCAAGTAAAAGAACACTTCTGGCTTGGGTCCTATGTGAGGACATGTGTCTCTCATTAATTTATTTCTGAGAGTGGGTTTCGGTCCTCTTTGATACTATACATTCAGTGTCTACAACTGGCAATGTTTTTCTCCTTGTTTATAACGCCGTGACACGTGAGTCACAGGAATTCTCCCATCTAGTTGATGGGACTTGTGTGCAAGTCATTCTGCCAGATTCATTTCCAGCTTGGAAACAAAGACTCTTAAGATCTTTCCCAGTGCCCTCTTTGTCTCTGAGGCTCAGTGCATCTCCCTGTGTCTCTGTCTTCCTGAGGCACAAGAGGCACCACTCACCAACCTTCATAGAACTGGCATTAAGTCTGTCTTTGAGGACTTAACCATTGCCACCAAGTAGTATTTTCTTATTAGAAAAGTTACTTATTTTCCATCTCCTTAATAGTACGTGTACATTGAGTCAGTGTAGAAGGAAGAATGTCATCAGTTAATTTCATTACAACAGATTAGTTTCATTAAATGCCAAATCTTGAAGGTTGTTTTCCTATCTTGGTCTGTAATGTTTTCTTCCAAGTGTACTGAAATTAACTCGAGCCATTTATAAAAATCTTGAAGTCATCCCTTTTTTAAATGTAAACAAAAATGGTGGAGGATATAGAAGAAAATAACACTTGGGTTGTAACAGAGGAGTTAAAATGGTCGTTTCCTTGGGTTTTAAGGAAAAAGCTCTTCTTCGCCCAAAATTAAAATGCACGTGTGGAGTAGATGTGGTAGTTCTTACCATAATTGTATTACTGCACATTTCAGAGTCTCTCGATTATAAATTAGGTCGTTGCCCATAATTATTCTCTGTGGTCCAGGTGGTTTATCTGGTATGCCAATGAGTTGAAAACTCATTTCTTTGGACTCAGATGTTTGCGTGTTTGTTTCAGGAAAACCCCACAGCACTGGTGGCTCTGAACGGATTCAGCTCTCAGGAATGTATAACGTCCGTAAAGGCAAAATGCAGTTGCCGGTGAACCGATGGGCCAGACGCCAAGTCATCCTGTGTGGGACCTGCCTGATGGTGTCATCTGTGAAAGACAGCTGGGCCGGAAAGATGCATGTTCTGCCTCTCATTGGTGGAAAAGTAAGTTTAAAATGAACAAAATGCTAACGGGTTCCCCAGTGCTATTAAGCTCACTTTGAGCCATTTCTGTAATACGGGGTCCATGGTTTTCACTCATCTGAGGTCTTACTCAATTCCTGTTTTGCTCCACCAGTGGGCATTGTTGAATGGTGGAGTTGTGGAAAATGGCCACGCATCGGCTCACACGAGGCCCTGGTGACGATCACTTTATTGGTACATGCATCTTATTTACAGACCTGAAACAGAGCAACTAAAAGTCAGTGTTATATTTTAGGCTACAGATGATAAGTTATTCTTTATTAGCAGACATCTCTTGATATCTTGAGTGTATCTTGTGTAGGATAGAATAATGATCCTTAAGTCCAGGGCTTAAGGATCATTCAAGCATTCTTACCAAAGGTTAGACTCTTTCTCTCTTGCATGAATCTTTGATCCGACTTTGCCCTACTTCTCTGTTTATTTTTGTTTAGTGACCAGTGAAGTTAGCATTTTTTAGTTTATCAGTTTAGCCATTCATAATTTTTGAAATTGAAATGTTACCTTGTTTCAGAGAAGAGCTGTTATATGGCTGATAGCTATTCCCAACATTGCTAGCTGCTTTTCTTTGGGCATGTCAATTATTTTATTCCTATCATTTATGAAATAGAACCAAATTGCTTGGGAAAATGTTACATTCTTTTTTTTGCCATGTCAATTTATTAATTCCCAAGTGTTGGTAGATGTATCATTACCATAATTATATGTTAGTATTTCCTGATTTTTAAATGATAGGATAATCTTTTAATAAATGGGAAGGCAAATTTGGATGAAGAAAAGGGTGTGTGAAAATTGGGGGCATATTAAGCAAATATTTTCTTTACTGTTTTCTTCCCTGAATGGGCATGGGAAAGACGGCAGAACGTGGAGGATATAAATAGAGGGGAAAATAAAACACCACTTTTGTTGAAGTGAACTTTTTAAAATTGGCAAATATTTGATCTGTTTATTCCAGGGATTAGGAATGAATTAGGTAAAATCAGATGTGTGCAGTAGTAAATGCCGTTATTATTCACTTGTTATGTAGCAAATTCATTCTTCATTCATAATTTAAAGTAGTCTCTCCTTATGTAAATAGCCCATGTCAGTTCCCTACCCGCTCCTCTGCTATTAGACAGTCTAATCCTAAGAAGACTAATACTTGATCATTTAAAAAAGATTCTGGCTGCAAGGTACATTTAGATCTATTTCAGTCATCTATTTTGAAGCCATTACTTAACTTTTGTCTGAGCATTGAAGAATTACTGGTGTCTTATTACTGAAGATTTTGTCCTTTGGATTGAATTCTGAAAAATTGGTCATCATTACTACTCCAATAGGTCATCATTAAAAATGCATATTTGATGTTTGATGCCCTGTTAGGTCAACAGTCTGTTTCTTTCTTCTCTATGATGTTAGGTGTTTGCTTAGGCAAATTTAATATAACTATTTATTAAATAACCTCTGTGGGGAAGCCACTTTGCTTGGTGCCCCAGAAATACCAAGATGGATAAGTCATCATCCCTGCCTTTGAATTGCTTATAATTTACTATCCGGAGATGAAGGATGGACACAATAAAATCTGCTCTAAGAGAGATGCAAAAAAGTAGTGCAGAGAGATTACATTTTGTTCTGGGGGAATCAGGGAATTCTGTGATGAAGGAGGTAGCAATTATGGTGGAACTTGAAGGGTGAAAAATCTTTTGACATATGAAGGAGATGGCCACAAAGATTATTGTGCTCAGAGAAGCTGAGGCAGGAAAGTAGTGGAATGTTCAGATAAGGTTCAGAAGATCAAGTTATAATTAGCATTTTCATTCAGGGCTAGAGACTTGTCTTGTTTCCCAGGCCTATTATTGGATGGACTTCTACCATTGAATGAATTGAAATGGCTTCCTTTTCTCACAGACAAACCTTGTAAAACCTGTTTTGTACTATGCCTTTAAAAATAATTGAGTATGTCGAAAAACAGTCTTTTAAAACCTGTTGACCGAGTTAGGGAAAAATAACTCTTTGCCGTCTGAGTTTTCATTAATGTGTATCTGTTCCTTTTTTCATTCTGCTCATTCCGTTTTATTCTGTTGAAGGAAAAGCTAAGAGTAAATGGAAGGTTTTTGGTTTTGTTTTTAAAATATTTATGAAGCAGAGCTAGAAATGAAGTGTGAGATAGATTGGCCATAACCTAGCAATAATTGCTGATAAATCAAACACAACACTACTTGAGCATGATCATTAATTCACATTTTCAAATGTCGAATTCCAAATATAAAGCTAAATGAAGCACTCTTAAAATTTCATTGTTGGAGAAAATTATTTAATAGATAAGTTTCTATTCATTGTGCAAGTATTACATTATATTTAATTTATCCTGTAGAATTTAACATCGGTTTTTAGGTGCAACATTTTAATATTTTACTTAATATTTGTTAAATTATGATGCATAAAAAATTGAATAACCATTTACCTACTGCTATTCAGTTTAGGAATCACAGCCATATAAACACCAATGTTTTCTACCTGTGTTCTCTTTACATCTGTCCCACTGGTATCCCCCAACCCCAAAGGTATCCACCCATTGTCCTAGAATATGTATTCATCATTTTCTTTTTTAAAATAAGTTTTATGATGTAACTATGTTTTGCTTGGTTTTGATCTGAATAAAATTGGTATCATACCATGTGTGGGCTTCTGTGATTGAATTTTTTCACTCAGTATTATGCTTCATAATAAGATTTCTATGTTGCTTTCTGTATGTGGTTTTCATTTCTGTATAACGTTTCCCTCTGTAAGTGTTCTAAATTCTCATAATTTCTTAAGTAATTTTCCTGTTGGACATTGGGTTGCTTCTAGTTTTTTGTCATTATAAATGATTCTGCCAAAATGGGCTTATGTTGATATGCCTCCTGGTACACAAGTAGTTTTTCTAGGACAGTAGTTCTCAGAGGTGCTGTGCCCAAAGGGGACATTGGATAATATGTGCAAGTGTTTTGATTGTGAAGTGATTGAACAGTCAACGTATCAGTTGATGTAAGCTCAATTATGCTATGGTGACAAATCCCCCCCAGATGTCAGTGACTTAAATTTTCTCATTCCACTAAACGTCCACTGTAGATTGGTAGAGATTTCTTTTTTCACATAACTGTACAGGGACCCAGCCTACTCTGCTCCCTTATAACATTTGGAACATGCAACCTTCCTTTGGTGCTTAAGCAAGGGAAGAGGTAACTGGAGAGTCATAAACTGGCTTTTGTATATTTGGATGCAGAAGTGACACACGCCACTTCTGCTCGTGGCTCATTGGCCAGAACTAGTCACATGACTTCACCTTGATTGCGGAAAGTCTGGGAAACGTGGAAAGTAGAGTGTTTGGTTAATACCAATATATTTGGTGCAAGGGGACACTATCGGCCTTTACAGGGCAGGGGCTCAGTGAAAAAAAAGTCACACGAAGTATTAGTCCTGCACAATGTACAATGAACTGTTTAATTCAAAATCCTTAAATTACTTCCTTGAGAAATACTGCTCTTAGATACACATTTAGGGGTGCAGTTACTGGACTATAGGGCATATGCACATGCTACAAGATGATGTCAAATCGCTTTCCAAAGTTGTTGCACCATTTTACACTCACATCAGTGTACAAGTGTTCCTGTTTCTCTGCATCTTCACCAAACTTTATGGAGGTATAATCGACAGACATTAAACTGCACATTTTGATGATAATTTGATAACAGTATAGCTAGCTAAACACACCCATTCAACCATCACCACAGTGAATAAGAATAATCATATCACCCCTGAAAGTTTCCTTGTGCTCCTTTTATCCCCCTTCCTTCCACTCTTTTCCTCATCCTCCAGAAATCACTGGTCTAATTTCTGTCTATATTGATTAGCTTAAATCGCATTAAAAAAATTTTTGTCTTTAGTGTATAGAAATACAGCTGACTTTTGAGTATTGATTTTATATTCAGCCACTTGGCTAAATTTTCTTATTTATTCTAATATACTGTCTATAGAATCTTTGGAGTGTACTATGTAGCTAATCATGTAATATTAAAATAATGACAATTTTTTTCTTCTTTAATACATATTTGTGTCTTACTGTAATGGCCAGGACTCTAGTATAGTATTGAGTAGAAACAGTAGATACTTGTCTTCTCAGTGATCTTAAAGAGAGTGGTATATCATCATTAACACTGAAGTTTGCCTTAGATGTTTGATAAATACACTTTGTCAGCTTGAGTTGTTATTTGTGTTCTTAGTTTGCTGGGAGTTTTTATCATGAGTGATGAATGGGTGGTGAATGTTACCAAATGCTTTTTCTGCAGCTGTGGGGATGATCATATGGTCTTCTTCTTCTTCTTCTTCTCCTCCTCCTCCTCCTCCTCCTCCTTTTTTTAATGTTTATTTATTTTATTTTTGAGAGAGACAGAGACAGGATGCTAGTGGGTTAGGGGCAGAGAGAGAGGGAGACACAGAGTCCAAAGCTGGCTCTAGGCTCCGAGCTGTCAGCACAGAGCCCAACATGGGGCTCGAACCCACGAGCTGTGAGATCATGATCTGAGCCAAAGTCGGACACTTAACCAACTGAGCCACCCAGGCGCCCCTGGTTTTCTTCTTTAATTTGTTAATGTGATTAACGATTTTATAGTTCCAATAATGTTAAATCATCTTGCCTTTCCTGAGGTAAATCCAATTTGTTTTTGATATAGTTTTTTTCCTTCTGTATTTCTGGATTGTGGTGCAACATTTTGTTCAAGATAAGTGTTCATAACTGAGACTCGCCTATAATTTTTTTTTTCTGTTACTACTCTGATCTGTTTTTGGTTATAGAATAATTTGTGGTATTTTTCTTCATTTTTTGTTGGGTGGATGAGTTTGCACAAATTTGGAATGTTCTCTTTCTTGGAACTTTGATAGAATTCATCTATAAAATGATATGGGCCTGATATTTCTTGAGAAAAAGTTTTATTCCGTTTCTTAAATGATTATAGGACTATGTAGGCCTTCGGTTTTTTTTCTTTCTTGATTTAGTGTTAGTAAAATATATTTTTCTGAGATTTTGCCACAGAATTGTTTATAATGTTCTTTTTAATCTCTGCTTAATCTGTAGGCCTATCTCTCTTTTCATTATTAATGTTATTTATGTCTGTCTTCAGCTGATATCATGAACTAATATCTGTTGACATTTACTTTATTAGCCTTTTCAAAGAACCAGTATTTTGTTAATGTTCATGTTCTCTATTGTATATTTGGTTTTCATGACATTAATTTCTGCTTTTTGATGTCACCTTTATTCTGGCTTGAATTTATTCAGTTTTTGGTTTGGTATTTTTCCCCCTAAGTTCTTGAGACATGTATCAATCAAAATAATTTTCTGCCTTCTTTTCTAATGTGACTATTTAAAATTATAAATGTTCCCCTATGTACTGCTTTTGTTGCATTCCATAAATTTTGATATGTATTTTTTTAATGGTTCAGTTCTAAGACTATCTAAATTTCTATTATTATTATTTTTTTTTTTACTTAGTTGTTTGGAAGTGTGTTACTAGTTTTCTAAGTACACTTGGATTTTATTTTATTTAAAAAAAAATTTTTTTAATGTCGTTATTTATTTTTGAGACAGAGAAAGACAGAGCATGAGGAGGGGAGGGGCAGAGAGAGAGGGAGACACAGAATCCAAAGCAGGCTCCAGGCTCTGAGCTGTCAGCACAGAGCCCGACGCGGGGCCGGAACTCACAGACTGTGAGATCATGACCTGAGCTGAGGTCGGACGCTTAACCGACTGAGCCACCCAGGCAACCCAGTACACTTGGATTTTAAATGGAATTTTTATTATTGACATCTAACTTTTAATTGCCTTTTGGTCCCAGAACATAGTCTGTGATACTGATCTTTTTGAAAATTCTTTACTCTTTATGACTTGTGATCAGTTTTGTAACTGCAGCATAGGAGCTTGTGGAATACCATGTTACTTTATTGTCTGGACTTTTCCTGCTTAGGAAGCATTTACTGGGAGTGGAAATTTGATTTGACTGTATCGCTGCCTTACTAGGACTTGAAAGTTCTTATGGTAGAGTTTTCTTTCATGTTAAACTCAATTTCACGTTAAATTTTTAAAAACTTATTTAACATGCTTGAAGACCTCTTTTTAAAAAAGGTTGTAATGCAGACTAATACAAAAGTCGCCCAAAGTAAAAATCCTTCTGCAGTAAAAATCCTTAAGTCTTAAGTAAAACTCCTTCCAAAGGAAGGAAGAACCCCAGCAGCCTATTGTGAGGATATAGAAAGATAAGAAAGGGCGTCTGTTCCAATCTAAACAGGAAGAAGAGAATTTCACTACTGTGGGGAAATCTAAAGAAGATAAAACTCCCCATTTTCGATTTCTTTGTAATTCAAGTTGGTTAGTCAGACTCAGGAACTTACGTGTTTTAAGTATTAAGAGGAACATATATAGGGAAAGATGCAAATCTGTGTAGGCTCACTGACCTAAGGTATGGTTAATGAACTATGTAAATGGTCTGCTTTCCTGATGTGTTTTTGTCTCTGTTTTTATAGGTAGAAGAAGTGAAAAAGCACCAGCACTGTTTAGCATTTAGCTCCTCTGGACCCCAAAGCCAGACTTACTACATTTGTTTTGATACATTCACAGAGTATTTAAGGTGGCTTCGACAAGTCTCCAAGGTAAGTGCTTACCCAAGAATATTTTTCAGCTTCTAGCTGGCTAGAGTTGCTTTCTGCTTTACCCAGTTCCAGAATATAGTATTATACTTAATAATTTTTTTAGTTTTCTGAAAGCTCATTTTGGCTGAAAAGTAGCCAACTGAAAAATTTTTAAATTGTGCTTCATTTGCTGGGTTCTGTTTATCCCTAAAAAAAAAAGAACTCAGTGGGTAGACTGGCATTACTATCTTAATGTTATAGATAAAGAACGTAGACTAAGAATATTTAAGGGACTGGCCCAGGGTCGGACAACTGCAAAACCACAAAATACCCAGAGAAGTGTTACAAATTTCCCCTCTTCCTCTATTTTTTCATTTAAGTGGTTTAATCTGTGCCACTCCCTTTCACCTGTCCAACTTCTGACTTTCAAATGGCTTAATTTCTTTTCACATCGTCATTTTCTTGACTGTTTAATAGTCTCCTACTTAAATGAGATCACCATGACCTATGAAACAGTATACGTGTGTGTGTGTGTGTGTGTGTGTGTGTGTGTGTGTGTGTGTGTTTGTGTGTGTGTGTAATGGAAGCCAGAATAAATGCTGGTATTTCAGGTACTCTGTGTGAAGATGATTTTACATCACATTTATAGAATTATGTGTAAAATGGGTGGGTTGCAGTACTTTGTGCCTTGGTTTTGGGTGTGTTTATGAAATGATGAAACCTCTCTTGGGTGTAGAAACATTACACTGGAATTTGCTTTCATATTTTTTAATTTATAATCCAGTTTGCTATCCAAGTTCAGTGTGATCCCAACTGCTGTATGATGTAATTGTTTATCAAGTGAATGAATAAGGAATAACTTTGTCAACAGTTAACAGAAAATTCGAGAATAATGTCTAGAAAGACTTCTTGAAATACTGGCTACATGTGAATTGTCAAGTAAAAGCTATGTTCTCTGATGACGCAATGCACTTAAGAACATTAGTGCTTCCTCCTTTTAGAGAAGCAATGGGCAGAATGTAGATTGATAGGGACTCAGAAGATTCTCCCAACCTGGTTGGCCAGTGGAGGTTCTAATTGCATAGGGCAGCATCCTGCTAGAGAAAATGGGAGGGATGACGCTTCTTTCGGCATGCCTGTAGAATTAATGTGCTATTAGAGGCAATGAATACATCTGCATGGTCGTTTTAAAATTACTTTTGTGGTTGCAAATGTGAGGAGACAACTATTAAATAATACTGTGCTTTTATATTTAAATGGTTACATGGGTCAAAGCAGTAAGTCAACAGCCTACACTCTGTTTTATTCGGAATAAAATGCCAAACTGTGGTCAAAGTACACTGAATTTTTTTTTCTGTATGGAGATGTTGATTGATTGACGTGTTTATTTTAAATGTTTATTTTTGAGAGAGAGCCCATGTGCATGCATGGGGGAGGGGCGGCGTGGAGACAGGGGGTCGAGAGCAGGCTCTGTGCTGGCAGCAGTGAGCGAGATGTGGGGCTTGAACTCCTGAACTGTGAAATTGTGACCTGAGCCACCCAGGCACCCTGAGATGTTGATTTTTTTAAATAAACTTTTTATTTTGGAATAATTTTCTATTTAGTGAAAAGTTATACAGATAGTACAGAGAGTTTCCATGTAGCCCCACCCAGCTTCCCAGAGATCTTACGTTGCCATGACAGAGTTGTCAAAACTAAGAAACCAACATTAACACGTTACTCTGATCTAAACTTCAAAATTTATTGGGATTTTACTGGCTTTTTCATTAGTGTTTTTTACTAGCATTTTTCATTCTCCTGTCCCAGGATTTAGTCCAGAGTACCACATTTCATTTGATTGTCATGTCTCCTTTTTCTCCTCTGGTCTGTGGCAGTTTTTCAGTCTTTCTGTGGTTCATATGACCTTGACACTTTTGAAGAGTGTTGGTCAGGTATTTCCTATAATGTCCTATGTGGAGATGCTTTGACCTTTTAAACCAAATGCAGTGTCATAGTCAGCTGCTTTACATTCTTTTTGGAATAAGTCAGAGGTATAAATTCTTAAACATGGATAAGGATGTGAGTAAACAGGTAAATTATCAAGGTTACCAATGACAATTGTTTTGATTAAAACAATAATAACAAAAAGATTAATAGGTATTGAGTTTAATTAACATCCACCCAACTGATAAGTCACTGTTCTAAAGATAGCCAGCATTTATGAAGCACCTTCTGTATGTCAAGTATGTGTTTTATGCACTGGGATATATAGCAAAGAACAAGTCTAATTCCTCTCTCTCGGTAGCACTTACGTTGGGGAAACAGATGATAAATAAGCAAACAGACGAGAAAGAAAACATCAAATAATCACAGAGCTATAATACAAGTTATAATGACAAAGAATGAGGAGGAAGAATAACTTTTTTTTTAATGTTTATTTATTTATTTTGAGAGTGTGTGCACACGAGCAGGAGAGGGGCAGAGAGAGAGGGAGAGAGAGAATCCCGAGCAGGCTCCATGCTGTTAACTCAGAGCCCCACGCAGGACTTGATCCCATGAACTGTGAGATCATGACCTGAGCCGAAATCAAGAGTCGGACTCTTACTAAGCCTCCAAGGCGCCCCTAAACTGGAACTTCAATGAAAAGAAGCGTCCAATTATTTGAAGACCTGGTGGGAGGAGCTTCCAGGTAGTTGGAAAAGATGGTGTGAAAGTCCTAAGACTAGAAAAAGGGACATGAAGTCAGGGAAGGCAGGGATTTTAGGTTACAAAACAGGGTAAAGACTCTGGATTATATGATTGGCATAATGACAAGCCATTTGAAAGACTTCTCTTTCAGAAAGTTACATAATCTGACACTGGCTGCTGTGTAGTGAATGGATTATGGAGGACAAGAAGAGAAGCAAGGGGTGGGGTCTGACTGGCAGGAGGCTCTTGTGGTATTTTCCAGGTAAGAGGTGAGAGGAGAGATGGAGAGAAGTGGATAGATGCATTTTGGGATGTGTTTTGAAGATTGAGAGACAGGATTACTGATAATTACATATAAAGCATGAGGAAAATTTTGGAATAAAAAATGCCTTCTGGGTTCTTGATTTGAATTGCTAGGTAAATTGTAGACTCATTCAGAAACCACAACACTGATTAGACTATATATGCACCTTTAAAGCAATGGCAAAATACAGTTTTTAACCTCAAAGAGTTTGTTTCTAGAGAGACAGCAGAGAAGTGAAATGAAAGAGGGTAGATTATGAAATGCCTCTTAAAAGAGGTGTGGAAATTGTTGATTTCTAACTGGCAATTGTAAATGTCATATGTTTGACTCTTTGCTGTTGCTGGGTGGCTGACATGCCATCTTCATAGGATGGTGTATTTGTAATAAGGTACTGTCTCTGATTATCCAAACCATGAATTGATGCACCCATCAGGACTGTCACAGGAGAGGTGGGGGTTGGGGGAGAATTGTGGCCCAGGAAACATGATGGTGGCAGGGTGAAGTGTTGGCGTGAGTTTTCCTCTTCCACTGATTACTACATTGCCATTAGGAAGTGTGTGATATGTAATGTAGCTACAAGAGAAGATAATTCACAAGCATATCCATCCACAACAAGACTCAGCTTATATCTCACACAAGTGTCTGTGAGTGCTTCCAGGAGGGGGGGGGGTTGAATTTAATTACCCTAAGTTACTAGTGTTAACAAGTAGTTAACTAGTAGTTAACTGGTATTAACTAGAATGAATTTGAATTAGAACCTTAACCTCCTTTCCTTTCAGAAAGGCTCTCAATGTTTGGAGAAGTCAAAAGGTGTGGGAGTAAGGAATTTAGGTTTCAAACTAAGGTAGACATGGGTTCCACCATTCACGGACTCTGTCACTGTAAGTTTCTAAATTTTAGGCTTTCTCATTTGATAAAGGGGTTAGCAATAGTACCTCCTAGGGCTTACGTCAGAGGTGGACATGATAGACTTATACCGACACATAGTCATTCTAACTCTGTGTGTGTGTGTATGAGAGTGACTGACTAAATACAGAAATAAAATAATTTTATGGCCATCATTCCTGCTGTTACCATTGATTGGCCAATCTTTTTTTTTTTTTTTTTAAAGTTTATTTATTGATTTTTGTGAGAGGGTGAGTGAGCAAGCAGGGGAGGGGCAGAGAGAGAGAATCCCAAGCAGGCCCCATGCTGTCAGCACTGAGCACAACATGGGTCTCGAACCCACAAACTGCGAGATGATGACACAAGCTGAGACCAAGAGTTGGGCGGTTAACTCACTGAGCCACCCAGGTGCCCCCAGACAATCTTTTTATTTAAAAAAAAATTTTTTTTTAATGTTTATTTTTGAGAGAGAGAGACAGAGTGTGAGTGGGGGAGGCGCAGAGAGAACGGGACACACAGAATCTGAAGCAGGCTCCAGGCTCCGAGCTGTCGGCACAGAGCCCAACGTGGGGCTCAGATTCACAAACTGCGAGATCATGACCTGAGCCGAAGTTGAACGCTTAACTAACTGAACCACCCAGGCGCCCCCAGACAATCTTTTTAAAGTATTATTTGTTTTTATGTATATTTTAAGGAGATCAAGACACACATATGCTTGATTTATCTGAACAAAGGAACTTCTGCTGTTCTTGACAACCACAGGAGCCTTTTGGGGTTAACACAATTGAGGATGGCAGACATCGGAAAGAAAGATTTCTTCCTGAAAAGTCAGGGGTCAGGGACAAAGGGCAGAACATGTTAGTAAATGCAGATTTTAGATACAATGTCTTTCCTTTCTCTAGTCTTACAAACCAGATACACGTTTTTAGAAGTTGTTAGGGTTAGTGATTGGAAGGAGAAGTCAGTTGTAAGGGGCTGGTTGAAGAGGTTAGATATTATAGAAGAAATCAGTGTGAGAACCCCCTATTTGGATATGAATTGCATGTAAGACAGGGCCATGCTCTTCTTTAAGCTTCGAATGTGGAGGAGAGTCCTGTGATCGTATCTTCTGCTTTAATTCAGCCTCCTGGGAGAGTACGTTGGGGCTGCTGGAAGAAGGATGATG